TCTTTTGCTTAAAAGCTATATAAGCGGGCTTATGCCAGGGGTCTCAGACACGCGGCCCGCGGGCCGCAAGGGCCGCACTGGAGAGAGATGGAGCTATGTGATCGCAGTGAGTGCGAGTGAGAGGTCCGACTCGTGCGGCCCGCGTGACGTCACAGTCTGAGACCCCTGGCTTATGCCATCGCCCTTGTGTCTGTCTGTCTGTCCGTCTGTCCGTTCCCCAAGAAGGATGAGAGCTAGAGGTCTGAAATTTTCAAGGTATTATTGTTGTCACTTCTGGACAACGAAATGGTTGGTGCAAATCCTGGCAACCACCCCTGAGTGGGTCTGAGGGGGTTACGAAGAAATATGTGGTGGTCTAAGAAGTAGGAAAACAATATTTTTTTATGGTCTTCTAAGGAGTAACTTGAGAAAGTAGAGATCTTCGGAAGAAAATTTCGTCCGTTTGGCTCTATCTCTCACCGTTTAGGCGCTAGAGGGAGTTTTTGTCACAAAAGTGGCCCTAAAGTAAACGTATTAATTTTGGAAAACATTTGATCGTCTCCAAGAGGTAACTTATGAAAGTAGAGCCCTTAGAGCCAAAATTTCGTCCGTTTGGCTCTATCTCTTACCGTTGAGACGCTAGAGGGAGTTTTTCTCACAAAAGTGGCCCAAAAATAAATATTTTATTTTAAGAAAATATTTGATGGTCTTCAAAGGGGTGAATCGTGTAAGAAGAAACCCTCTGGGCTAAAATGTCGTCCGTTTGGCTTTCACTGTTTACTTACAAAAGCGAATTTTTCTTACTGAAATAGCCAAAACAGAATCTTTTTCATTTTTTTCAGGAGTACACTTTTGTTTGAGAAGTAGCCTATGCCGTCGGTTCAAAATTTTCTTCTAAGCAGAAGAGTGGGCTTATTTTATGGTGGCACATCATTAGTAAAATGTGTACACTCCCATGCCAAAAAAACAAACATTTATTTCCTTGTTTTGTTGTACTTCACATGCTGCTTCCGTTCTATCACTAATTAAAGCAAAATCATTGCGGACCAGTTCGGAGTTATTTCAGAGTACGCCTCTAAGTATATTTAATTTCTTCTAGTTCTAGTCTTAAATATCTTTTCATAGGTGTGTTATTGGATCCATAAGCTAACATCAAAAACTTAAAAGGGATTTGGCATAACTTGCATGTTTTTTACAAACTGCGGCACACATAGCCAAAGATGTTGAGCGTATGAAAAGACTGCTTCGTTTGTTGAGTTTTGATTACGGAGTGGACAGCAAAGGTACCTGGCAAAAAGATGGTTCAAAGCGAGCTGTCACTCAAACGTTCGATGGAAGCTTTATTACACCATGAAAAATCAGAAAGGGCGGGCCCAAGGCCCGTTCCAAACGCCGCCGGCAGGCCAAGCTAGGCCCGCTCCCTGCCGAACCAAGTTGCCGGTGGAGCGAAGCAAAAACTCTTGTTTCTAAGACAACAACCGAGTTACAAACAGTTCATCATTTTACGAATGTATTCGTTACTTTAAAATAACGAAGAGTTCGTGTAGAAAAATGTATTAACAGGACATTCTTCGTTAAATTACGATGTAACTTCCAATCGTGATGGGACTTTGCTTACATTTCACTATGTTTTTCGCGCGAAAAGAGAATATCCAAATTAGATAGATGAAGATCCCAGATTCTCACTCCACCTTTTTGCTTAGTCTCTAAACTTTTTTGGCTGAGCGATTGGCGAAGCCTATTACTCCCATGATGATCTAAAAGTTTCGCGTCTGCCTGTCTGTCTGTGTGTGTCTGTCTGTCATCACGATAACTCGAGATCGAATTGAGTTAGCGACCTGAGATTTTCAGGGTCGTTTGGGGTCACAAAAAGACAGATAAAGTTCGAAGAAGAGCATTCTAGCTCAAAAATTGGATTTAAAAAAAAAACACAGGTCCCACAAATGACGTTTAAAGAAAAATAAAAAAAAAGTTCCGTCAAAGCACGGATCGTGGAAGCAGATGATACATATGAAATGATCAAGCCTTGCATTATATTATTTCAGTACAGGATGTGGAGGTTTCAAAGATCTAACACCCACATTTACAGAATGTTGTTGCTATCTATACCACTATTCATATTATACAAGGTCCCCACTGCCGTTTTATTCTCCTCCAGTGTTTAGAATAGCATGATATGGTCCGTGCGGGTGGCTGAGCCGAGCCGAACCGGGCCGAGTTCCGAGCGCCGGCCGAGCCGAGCCTGGCCGAGGTGAGATTGGAGCCGAGCAGTGACGCGGGGCCGAGCCGAGCTCGGGCCTCGCGCGCGGCTTCGGGGGCTGACGCTGCGGAGCTGGCGGCTGTGGCACGGTCGGGCCAGCAACACTCAGCCGCCCTCCGTCTATCTACTACTGGTGACGTCACGCTTTGTGCCCCTCTGCACGAAGCTACAGTACAAGCAATGACACATTTGACATATCATTCGTATTATTCAATTCAGTTGTGTAAAGTTTCAGTTACAAATGTATCATCTGCTAAAAAAAATACGATATCATAATGGGTAACTCATCAAAGTAGAGCCCTTTGAGCGAAAATTTCGTCCGTTCGGCTCTAACTTTAACCGTTGAGGCGAACGGGAGGAGTTTTCCACACGGAAATGACCCCAATTCATTTCAATGTTTTTTCTCAGGTGTCTCATGGTCCCTGATGGGTCAACTCGTCAAAGTAAATCCCAAGGGAGCAGGATTTGTGACTTGTGGGGCCGAAGGGCCTATTTACGACTCTTTCCTTAAGCCAGCTCGGGTGTCAGCGCCGCAGGCCTAGCTAGATGTTCGCCAAGCGCGTCGCAGCGTAACAGTGTTTCGAGAGATATCGCGAAGCCTGTTAGGCGAGACGTGGTCTGGCATACATCTACCTAGTTGGCTGAGCGATTAGCGAAGCCTATTACTCCAGTGATGATCAAAAAGTTTCGCGTCTGTTTGACTGTCATCACGATAACTCGAGAACGAATTGAGCTAGCGACCTGAGATTTTCAGGGTCGTTTTGTATCATAAAAGGAGAGATCAAGCTCAAAGAATAGCATTCTAGCTCAAAAATTGGATTTTTACAAAATCAGAAACCACAGGTCCCACAAATAATGTTTCTAAAAGTTTTTTTTACAGTTTCATAAGGAATAACTCTTTAAAGTAGAGGCCTCTAGGCGAAAATTTCGTCCGTTTGGCTCTATCTGTCAGCGCCGCAGGCCTAGGTTGATGAATGCCAGGAGCGTCGCAGCGGAACAGTGTTACGTGAAATATCGCGAAGCCTGTTACGCGAGACGTGGTCTGGCGTACATCTTCCTAGTTACCTCAAACGTTGCATTCGATACCCTGAAATGCCTGGCGAAGGGAGGGTCTCCCATCGTTTTAAGCAGGGCTTCAACCTCCACATCTATCTTCACTCAATGTACATCATCATCTTCACATGTACACTGAAGAAGTAATAGTTTTAAAATGAATAATATTTTAAAGTATGTAGACTAAGTTTAATCTAATTTTGAATGTGCTAACAAAAAGTAAACAAAGCTAACCTAACAAGTCATCGTCGTCCTCTATGCAGCTCATTATTGGCTGAGCGATTAGCGAAGCCTATTACTCCAGTGATGATCTAAAACTTTCGCGTTCGTCTGTGTGTCTGTTTGACTGTCATCGCGATAACTCGACAACGAATAGGGTATTCCGGACAAGCGAAGCGCCGGAAACGAGAGGTGAGGATAGCGCTGGTCGAATCTCAGCCTCGCGGCTTCTAGATTCGGTCGTCTGCTATCAACCGCACGGTGGCGTTAGGTTAGGTGGTGGTCTGGATTTCAATCTCGATTTTTAGAGTGAGGATAACACTCAATCTCCATAATCTGAAGCATGATGTCGTGGTAAACAAAGGCGGAAGAGCAATAGGGTATTTCAATGGAGCGCTGGCCGGAACTA